CAATCAGACAGCTGGAAATAAACTGTCTCAGTAAGAAACCTTTTCTAGTTGTCCTGTCCTGTTTTTACAACTGAGTTTTATTGCACCAGTGAAAGTAGAACAAATTGATCCACAAGCAATTGCATGATTTCTCATAACAAACAAGCTCAGATTCTGAGAAATCCATGGTAGTTCATCTAATTTGAGAGCTTTCCAAGTTTGCATAAAGTCATATAGAAGAAAAGCAAGGGGGGAACACTAGTTCTAGTAAGGTTCACCAATGGAAACACATTTCACACCAAAATGAACCCCAGAGATATGCAAGAATATCCTTTGTGATGTGGGAAGGAAGAATTTTTATTTATATTTAGTTTATATTGAGACATAAAGCAATAAATTAAGCTTTAGTGACATTTAGCATACAAATTGAAGAAGGTTTCCCCATTTGCTCCATACAGCAAAGCATGCTGTGTGTCACATATGGTATGAAGGGCTCCTGGCTGAAGAAAGAGTGTCCAGAGCACAGAGATTCACAGGGATGCTCTCCCTCACCTGCACTTTCAGTGTATTTCCACCATAACTGACCATCAAACCCCTACCAAGGAAGAAGTCTCAAGAGATGGGCCAAGGCAATGTGCCTGTAAAGCTTGGGGAACATGTCTAGTAAACTAGTCAGAGAGTACTGGATTCTTGCAGTAATTGGTCTCATGGACAGGATATTCCTGAAGGTGAATGTTACCTATTGTATTGTTAACATTTTGGCAACGCTGGGCTTTCTGAGTTAATGTTCTAGTTGCAAAGCCAAGCCAAGTAGAGGCAACTTAAGATCTTTGGGAGAGGTGTGATAAGATCAGCTCCAGATGGCACCACTGCCATAGAGGGTATAAACCATTATGAATAGTAACAAATGCTGGAAAAATCTAGGTGATAAATTTTCTTGTGTAAAAAAACTTTGCACTGAGCCCACTGATATTTGAGATGAACTTGAAAAATTGGAAGGTTCTAAAAAGTTGAAGAAAGGAAAGGAAAAAACAGACTTGTGCTGGCTGTTAGGAAGTTGTTTGCTAGCAGTAGTGGAGAATGTAGGAGACATGTAAGAAGAAAGGCTCTAAGGTAAAAATTAGGATCATACAGTTAACCTAGCCACAATACCACTCACCCTTGGTTCCTATCAGGAAATAATAAGAGCAAAATTTCTACAGGCAGTGTGTCTGAGGAACATAGTTGTGTTTGGCAAAAAGGCTTAGATAAAGGGTTAAGGAGGCAGCACCTGCAAGGTTTTCCAGTGATAAACCAATTATCAGGAGAAACTCAGTAACAGCTAACAGGATCCACATCAGCTCCCCACATATATCCAAAGTTAGAGAATATCACTCAGCACTTTAGACAAAGCGATTGAAATCAAAAGGGAAGTTCTGCTGTGTGGGTTGTGTCCACTAAGGCAGAAACATGAAACCAGAGTCTGGAAATGTTGATGGCTGTAAATGATAAATAAACTACAGTGGTTTTGACTGATACAGAAAAGCAATGACTGACGCAGACAGATCAATGTACCTGTTAAGGTAGAGCTCTTTTAAAGAAAAAAGCAGTTTCTGTAGTAGATGTTAATATTTGCTACGGTATCATAGGAGATTCCAAGTTCTGAACCTTCATTAAACTGAAAAGACATAGTTTTGTGAAACTTTAGTTGAAACAAGCCCCAGATTACCTCTTCAAGGGTTAAGATTTTGATTCATCTGGTACATATATTGTGTAATTCAATTACAGACATCTTTTTCTTTTCCCTTTGGGAAGTAACGATTTCCTTTTCCAAATAGTTTCTGTGACATGACTTACATAGAATTTACTAATTCATCAGGAATTACAGTATTACTATGAGAGGGTCTTTCTCATATTTAAATGGCCTGACTCAGAAAAATTTTTGTAAATTGAATTTCTCTGGTTAGAATTCAGATACTAGGATCAGTGACAAGCTCATAGGAAGGAAAATAATTTGTTTTTGTCACAATATTCACAGGAAGATAAATTTATATTTCAAATTGGAGGTGCATGTTAGCTGGATTCAAACACATCCTTTTTCAAGTTCATAGTCTGCAACTGGATTGGCTCTTTTAAAATAAAATTCCATGGATAAATGGATCTTCTAGATCTGTTTTCTGTTCCTTGAACATGTAATAAAGTTCAGTCAGAAGCATAAAAACAATATCAGTCTCTTCCATCCCAAACATTCTGGTGTTTTTTAAGAATCATGCTAATTTTAGAAAAGAAGGTGTCTTCAACAACATCTTGTCTATCTTCATAGTGGTCACATGTAGATGTGGATCAGGCCAACAGGAATGAGGATGCTGAAAGCAAAAATAACAGATGTGTCAGTGAGCAGAATGTGCTATTGCTGAGACTGTGGAAAATTGCTGGGGGAAGCACCAAAAATGTGTAGTTAAGGAATTTGAGAGAACGAGTAGTACAGGAATTGCATCTGCAGAGTATAAAAACAGCTGGTTTAGGTTTAATAAATGTCTTCAGTTGTACCTCACTCTACAGGGGAAAAAATCAATTGTTAAAAATGTAGATTCATCTTTAGCAACATATAGGAATAATAGTTTGTGGTGTAATTATACGTCGAGCAATGTTTCACACTCCACCAAAACACCGTTAACCTTACCTGAGGGGGTGTTTCTTATTTATGGGGATAGAGATTGGCCTGGGATTCCATCTCATTTAAGGGGAGGACCTTGTAGCTTAGGAAAATTTCAATGATCTGTGCTGTGTGAATTTATCGGACCACTCTTATTTGAAGAACTACAGAAGGTAGTGGGAGAGCTACAAGAACATAATGAATGGAACATTCAGGAGACTGGTTTAATGGCTTAGGGATATGGGATTGTTTTATGTTAGGCGTATTTTGATTACTAATCTTTATATGCATATTATTAGTGTGTGTGCCATGTGTAATACAATATATACAGTGCATGATTGACAAAGCTATAGGCAATGTAAAGTTAAGTGCTTTAGAAAACAAAAAAGGGGGAGATGTTGGGGGAGACAAAATGGAAATGCATGCTAGACCTTGGGGCAGGCCTCTCAGCCTGAACACAAGTACTGAGAGTCTCCTGCTAAGTCGACCCTGGGAAAAGTAGAGTTAATGTTTCTCTTTGGTAGTTAGAAGAGTGCTTTGTTATGAGAAAAATGCTGATAAGCACAATGATGTTTTTGGCTGTTGCTGAGAAAGAAGAAAGCAAGAAGACTGCCAGGACTTCATAATTAGTGCATAACACCTGGTGTTGTTAAGCTGGTAGGAAAATACTGTAACTAGATGGAAAAGTACTGTAGCTTACAAAAGGTATATAAGCAGCCTGCATGCTGAAATAAAGTGTCTCAGCATCACCTATGACCTGAGTCCATGCCTCAATACGCCACAGTCACATATTTAAACTTTCTCCTTTTTTCAGTGAAGAAAACCTGAAAGTTACTCTTAAATAACTTGAAGTCACATGATTTCAGGGGTCAGAGAGTTAATGATACCATCATAAAATTGTAGCAACTGGTAATAAGAAAACTATTCCAGTTTTGATATTTTCCATAAAATCATCCAGCTACTTTTGAATTATAGAAGTTCAGTAATGTGATACACAGCCTCTACCCTGGGTTTGTGCTCCCAATTTCTGGCTAAAACTAAAGGGATTTTTCAAAACATTTTTGTGTAAGCTGTCCAAGTCTTATTTCCAAGGATTGCAGTGGAAGACGGAGAAGAGAGGAGCATCTTTATACAATATAATCATCCCTGAGCAAAATCACCTGTTTCCTTGCTACCTCTTATTATTAGCAATATCAGTCTATTTCTGCAAGTTCCTTTTTGGTATTTTTAAAGGGTCAAATTAAATCTAAATGGTCTTTTTGCTTTGGAATAATGTTGACACAGAAAGTGACACTATTATAAGTATGTTAGTGTAACTGTTAAAACTCCCTGCAAGGATTGATTATTTCCATGAAAGACATTAACAGACCCCAGGACTAGTTTTGGAATATGCATCTTTTGTTTCTGCCTTATTATGATTGATAGCTTTCTGATCTGTAGGTCTCACAGTTTACTAATGGGGAAATTTGATTTTTCAACAGCATCTATTCCAGCCTGTCCAAAGTTCAGTCATTTTCACATCTCAGTTCTCAAATCATCATTTTTTGCAATAGAAGTCAGAATAAATTTTCAATATATGGGTATTGTATGAAGTCCAGCAGGACTGATACAAAAGACAGCTCCAGCTACCTCATTCCCCAAGCACTCTAGTTCATAATGAAACTTATTAATGGGAATTGCTCTGCTATCAACTCCATTGATTTCTCTGCCTTCAGAATTACTTAGAATCATGTCTCAGTGTAGGAGGATATATCACAAGACACGACTAGTTAGGAGAAACAGAATCTTTTTGGTTCTGGTTAAAGGACCTGTAGCCTGCTGATTTCTCACTTCAAGGAAAACAATGTAATAATAGAAGCAACTTGAACATATAGTAGAGGTGTTAGCACACAAGAGAAAATACTAATGTTGCAAATACCTTAATAATATAGTTTGAATCCTAGAATATTATTTTGATTTTAGTTTAAAAAATGACCTTGATTTAAAATGGAGTTATAGCAGCTATGACAATGTGAGGTATGTTGAGGCCCTTAGGAACATATAACTAGTATGGTGTTTGCCTTAATCACTATAGCAATCATTATGGACTCTGAATCAAAACAATGGGTACTGGTTATGGATCTTGAGCTAAAATGACTATGTAACCATGACTGTGTAACCATGACTCTGCTGAAAAAGTGTATAAATATGCTGTGCTTTGTACCTGTCGGCAAACATGTCTTTGGCGGAGTTATCCCACGTGTTCCCCAGTGCTGGAATAAAGAAGTGCCTGCTTATCTGCTGTGTGTAGATAAGTTTTTTCACAATTGCAACCGCTAACAGTTTTGGCAACCCAGATGGGACCTTGCGAGTGAGACTGGACGGGATCGAGCTCTGATCGAACTCCAGCCAGCACCAAGGAATTATCAGGGAGAGCCATCGTTCTCGACCCATAAAGCTCCTCGCAACATTCCCTGGAAAGGTAAGGAACTTCTTTCTGAATCAGTGGAAAGCCTGCCTGTCAGACGGAGCGAAAGTTCTGCATGGTTGGGGCTAGGGAATTCCCGAGCAGTGGAAGCCTAGGCGCCGCCCATAAGGCGAATACAAAAGTTTCACGGGGTTGGCATCAGTGTCAGAGGTGGAAGGGAATTAAAGGAGCGGGGCCTGTGGGACTCCTTGAGAATAGGACTCTCTTGGGCACTCCCGGGGATTTTCCCAGAGGGACTCCTTATCTCAATTGAGTCACTGCGAGGAATAAGGCAAGGATTATTAGAAGAGGGTCTGGGCTGTTCATAAATCGTGAGATGTGGGATCTTGCGTGGAACAACGTATACCGGGGTTGCTAGCACCTCACTGGTATACCTCTGGTCAGGAACACTGCGGTGTACATATAGGTACTCTCTGGTCTTGACACGGGAAATTGTATTTTTTGTATTCTGTAATTTGTCTCTGTGCTTCTGAATCTTGTAACTTTGTAACTTTGGTAATACAGGAAACAATGAAACACTGTTGAAATACTGTTGAGGTTTTCTGTGTGAATGAGTGAATGAGACTTGTAATTACGCACGAAGCCAGTGTGGAGCTTTGATCCGTGGCTCTGTTATCCCGCGAGGGGTGGAGATGGAGATAAGTGAAGCCAAAGGACAGAACAAAAGCTGCTAAAAAAAAAAAAAAAAAATATATATATATATATATATATATATATATACTGTCAGTTTGCTATGGCATTTAAATTTTCAAACCTGTTTAAAGAAAGGAGAGGGAGTAAGAGTTCTATACCAAGAAACACTCCCTTAGGTTGCCTTTTAGCTCACTGGAAAGAGATGCATGAAGAATTAAGCAAAAGTCAACTTACTGAATTTTGTAATCATGAATGGCCATTGTATAAATCAGAAGATGGAGACATGTGGCCCCTGAATAGGACCTTAAGTTATAATACTATTTTGCAATTAATGTTATTTTGTAAAACGGTAAATATAGTGGGAGCCACAGGGAAGGAGGAAAACCAGCCATTCTTACAACTGTTGAATTTACAGTTTGGAAATAAAATCATAACGCATTAATTTCTGTACGTTCCAGAATGTCCAGTACCCTTAATGGGAAGAGATTTGGTATCCAAATTAAATGCCCAGATATTTTTTGAAAATGGAGAATTGTTGTTAAGAATACCAGAATCAAAACCAGGGGAAATTCTGATGATACAGGAAAAACCAAAGATACAAGGAATCCCCCCAGAAGTGAGTTATGCAGTAGTTCCCATGGTATGGGAAACTGATGTCCCTGGAAAATCCAAATTAGCACAACCAGTGAAAATTGAATTAAAGGAAGGAGCGAAACCAGTTAGGATCAAACAATACCCAATTAAACCTGAGGCAAAACAGGGAGTTAAAAGGCTGATTGACAAATTCTTGAAATATAAGATTTTAGAAGAATGTGAGTCAGAATATAATACACCTATTTTACCAGTCCAAAAGCCCACAGGTGAGTATAGATTGCTACAGGACTTGAGAGCTATAAATCAAATTGTAAGACATTCACACAGTAGTGGCAAATCCATATACCTTATTGACAGCCCTTAAAGAAAAATATCAGTGGTTTAGAGTGCTTGATTTGAAAGATGCTTTCTTTTGCATACCCCTGGAACAGGAAAGTCGTAAGCTGTTTGCTTGTGAGTGGGAAAACCCACAAACAGGGTGTAAAGTACAGTTAACAGGGACACGACTACCCCAAGGATGTAAGAACAGCCCAACAATCTTCGGTAGCCAACTTGCCAAAGAACTAGAGATATGGACAAATGAAAAGACAGTGACTCCATGACCAGAACATCAACTTTTACAATACGTGGATGACTTCTTAATAGCTACAGAAGAAAAGACAGCCTGTATACAGGTAACCACTGAACTTTTAAATATTTTGGGACATAATGGGTATAAGGTGTCTAAGAAGAAAGCCCAAATAGCAAGCCAAACTGATATATTTGGACTTTGAGATTTCAAAGGGGCAAAGAAGATTGGGGACTGATCGAAAGGAAGCAACCTGTGCTATTCCGGAACCTCGGACTGTACATGAATTAAGAGCTTTCTTGGGAATGGCCGGGTGGTGTCATTTTTGGGTTATGGATAATGGTCTTTTGGCCAAGCCATTATATGAGGCCCAAAATTCCACCCCTTTCATGTGGGGTCAGCAACAACAGGAGGCCTTTCAAAAGCTTAAGCAAGCTTTAATGACAACGCCAGCTCTAGGATTACCTGATTTAACTAAAGATTTCCAGTTGTTTGTTCATGAAAGGCAGCACCTTGACTAGGAGTCCTAACCCAGAGGATGGGAAGTTGGAAGAGACCTGTGGGGTACTTTTCTAAACAACTTGACACGGTGAGCAAAGGATGGCCTTCCTGCTTATGGGCAGTACCGGCAACAGTAATATTGATACAAGAAGCCAGAAAGCTCACCTTGGGAAGAACCATCATGGTCTATGTTCTGCATATGGTTGCTACAGTGTTGGAACAAAAAGGGGGGTGTTGGCTGTCCCCTAGATGAATGATGAAATATCAGGCAATTCTTACAGAGCAAGATGACATGATTCTGAAAACAACTAATCTTGTAAATCCTGCAGTTTTTCTGAGTTCTTCAGAGGAGGAAGAACAACCTGAACATGATTATATAACAACTATTGAACATACATACTGTCGTTGAGAAGATTTGAAGGATGTCCCCCTCGAAGGTCCTGAATGGGAGCTGTTTACAGATGGCAGCAGCTTTGTACAGAATGGAACTCGCTACGCAGGATATGCGGTAACAACTGAAAGTACTGTAGCAGAGGCAAATGCACTGCCCAACACTGCATCAGCACAGAAAGCAGAATTAATTGCCTTAACACGAGCATTGTAACACGAGCATTGGAATTAAGTAAGGGAAAGACAGTGAACATCTGGTCAGATTCAAAATATGCTTTTGGAGTGGTTCATGTCCATGGAGCATTATGGAAAGAACGAGGACTATTGTCCTCCCAGGGGGCAAATATTAAGCATCAGAAGGAAATTTTACAGTTGTTTTTGGCGGTTCAAGAACCGGCCCAAATAGCAATCATGCACTGTAAAGCACATCAATCCGGAAATACAAAAATAGCAGGAGGGCATAGGTTAGCAGATCAAGCTGCCAAGGAAGCAGCTCAACAGCGAATGTTACAAATGGCAGTAATTCCTACTAGAACTGTAACTCTCCCAAAGGAACCACCAGAATACTCGAAGGAACATGAGAAATTAGCTCAATTTTTAAATGCAAAGAAAAATTTAGAAGGATGGTGGACAACTTCTGAAGGCCAGGTGGTTGTGCCCCCATTAATTATGAGGGAAATACTACAAGTAAACATCAGGAATGCCGTTTGGGTGTAGAGGCCCTGGTGACATTCCTGAAGAGGCACATAGTATCAGTAAGGATCTTAGAGATGGTTAAATCAGCTGCTGCAAAATACAATGTATGTTTAAAGAATAATCCACTGGTACAGAAGAGAGTTCAAATGGGCAATTTGAAAGCAGGACTAGAACCTGGTAACTATTGGCAAATTAATTTTACAGAATTACCCAAATGTAAAGCATATCGGTATGTTCTGGTTGGGGTTGATATCTTTTCTGGATGGCCAGAAGCCCTTTCATCTCGCACAAATCAAGCTAAAGAAACAGTTAAATGGCTTTCACAAGAGATAATTCCAAGATTTGGGGTGCCTATTGGAATATCATCAGATAGAGGTCCATATTTTGTAGCCACTGTGGTGCAGGACATAAGCAAAGCCCTAAGGATATCCTGGGAATTGTACGCTTCCTGGAGACCACAGTCCAGTGGAAAGGTAGAAAAGATGAATCAGACTTTAAAAAGACAAATTAGTAAAATATGTCAGGAGACTAAATTGAAGTGGCCTCAGGCACTCCCATTAGCATTGTTGCACATTAGGGTAAAGCCCCAAAGTGGGATGTTAGTCAGCCCCTACGAATTGATGTATGGAGAACCATATGAGACACCTGAACCTAATCCAAATATGCATGTAACAGGAAAACAAGATGTATATAATTATTTGCTTTCTCTTGGAAAAACTTTAGCTAAACTCCAAAGTGCAGTAGTGTGGAATCGACCCCTGACTCTGGAAAATCCAGTACACGACTTACAACCTGGAGACTATGTCTACATAAAGACCTGGACAACGGAACCCTTACAAGAGAAGTGGAAGGGACCCTACCGAGTTCTCGTAACCACATTCACCACAATTAAGGTTGCTGAATCAGATGTTTGTATCCATTACACCAGAGTGAAGAAAGCACCATCTACAAAGTGGAGAGTGATTGGAAATCCAGAGACTTTAAAATTGACTTTGAAGCATGAATAATTATCTGAACCTTGTCTTTCTGTTAGTCTTTCAGTCTGAGATGGTGGAAACGTGGACAAAGGAAAAATCGTTGTCAGGCCAAGCACATGTTACTAATGATACTCAGATTCAAATCAATAACGTGAATGACTGGTGGGTAGGAGTAGATGGACAAGTACAGGTAAAAGATAAAATTTTAATAAGAAAAGAACAGGATGCAGAAGAAGAAAGGGACACAGAACAAGTAATATCGGTACCAGGTAAAACTCAGGAAGAAAATTTCATGATAGGTTTGATTAAGGAATTTGCAAATTTACCAAATGTATCACAAATTACTGCCTGTCTACCAATACCACAAGCAGTTGGAGAATCTATCCCATAGGGCATTTTGACACTGAACATGACTACTGTAGAAAAGAGGAATGAAACTACCTATTGTAGGCAGAAGCCTGTAGTTGGATGGCAGGAGAAGGTAGAGACCATTAAGAAACAGTGGAAATCCCCAGGGAGCGAAGCAGATTGTGCAAAATTGTTGAATTATCAATATATGCCAACTTTGAGATTTAAAAATGTTGGGTGGTGCAGCTATGATGAGCCTGTAAAGCGGAATGTATCAACAATGACCATGAAATGGTAATGTGAACAGGCAAAACAACTATCAAAGAAAGGACAGGAATGGGATTCTATATGGCCTATGAGTATACTCCTACAGTTTCAATATATGGCAAGGGCCTCATGGTGTTTTGCATGGGAGGGATTAGAATTCACAGTAGATCCAACTGTAGTGGATAGAAGCACCACTACTAGAGAAAAAGAGGAAGTAGTCCCTTGGTGGCAGTGTGAACAGATATATAATTGCAGTACAGTAAACCAAGCGATCCAGTGTATACCTCCTTTGGCAGCAGCTTTAAAATTCGGTTGTTTATGTCGGGGATTAAAAAATACCTTAAATGTGACCAGACTTTGGAAAGTGAGCTGCCAAAGGTACATGATCCCAAATCCTCGGCATTTAGTCTGGGCAATGAGTGACGGTACCTGGGCATCTCATCTACCAATAGATGGAAAAGTTAAACAGATTACTTTAGGACTGCCTACATTATGCCCAATTTGGAAGAAATCTCCCTTTAGAGGAAGTCAGGATAATCTGCATTTGGCACGAGTGAAAAGATCGGAGCTGGATGATGATGAGGCTTAGAATGATCCAGGGATGGGAGTAAAAATTGGTTGGGTGCTGGAATCCCTCCTAAATCCCATAACATCCTATAGAAATAAAGCATGGCTGTACCGATTGACTGGACAGATTGAATGATTGGCAAATGTGACACGTAGAGGATTTAGACAAATGAATATACAGCTGCAGGCTACATCAAGGATGGCCATACAGAATAGAATGGCACTAGATAGGTTATTGTTAAAAGAGCATGTTGTATGTGGAGTTCTGGAAGGCAAAGTAGATCATTGCTGTGTACAAATTCCAAATGTCACTGAAGATGTGGAGCATGATTTGGATTTGTTGGGAAAGATAGAATAGGAAACATATAAAATCAGAGAAGATATGTCGGAAAATTTGATGGGTGAAATTATTAGTGGAATGGGATTGAATCTGAGTTCATGGATAAAGTCACTAATTGAAACTTTATTCATTTTGACATTGGTGTTCATAGTGCTCAGCTTAACTTATTGTTTGAGATGAGAACTGACCTGGAAAACAGAGTTTAATCGAATGATCATACAGGCAGAAGCAAGACAACGGGCCCCACCATCTTATGACAATTTGGCATTCAATGAGACTACAATTTGAATATGTGAAAGTATTGAGTATGATTATCAATACTTTCAAAGGGGGGAAATGTTGCAAATACCTTAATAATATAGTTTGAATCCTAGAATATTATTTTGATTTTAGTTTAAAAAATGACCTTGATTTAAAATGGAGTTAGAGCAGCTATGACAATATAAGGTATGTTGAGGCCCTTAGGAACAGGTAACTAGTATGGTGTTTGCCTTAATCACTATAGGAATCGTTATGGATTCTGAATCAAAATAATGGGTACTGATTATGGATCTTGAGTTAAAATGACTATGTAACCATGACTCTGTAACCATGACTCTGTAACCATGAGTCTGCTGAAAAAGTGTATAAATATGTGGTGTTTTGTACCTGTCGGCAAACATGTCTTTGGTAGAGTTATCCCCCGTGTTCCCCGGAACTGGAATAAAGAAGTGCCTGCTTATCTGCTTTGTGTAGATAAGTTCTTTCGCGATTGCAACTGCTAACACTAACAGGCCCTTTTACAGTTTAGTCTTGTGAAAGCACGAAAATGCAGGCAGGAATAAGATTTCAGAAACTTGGGTTAGGACCACCTATCCTAGAACCTAGCATCAAAAAATGCTGAGATTTCAGTGCCTACTGTGATCTAAGGAAACCAGATGGCCCCCCCACCCTCAGGAAACATTGCACCTGGGGGTTGAGTCATGCCCTTTGTCTGTTAAGATTGCTTGTTGGGACATGCCCTTTGTATATTGGGACATGCCTTGTGTTTTGTTAAGACGTGACATTTATCTGATAACATGGGAGTTGCTAGGGGAGGATTGGTGCCTGGGGCTTGGGGTGGGGATATTTTAAGGATTTCTCGGAACTAATTGTAATAATCCCCCCCTATTCCTAGAATTGTGATACATATGTAACATTCTACATAATAAAAAGGAGCCGCTTTTGGCTTCAAGCCACACATGCATTTGGAGGAAATGATTCCCCCATGCGCCCAGCGCTGAACAAACATACCGACTTTATAACCTTACTGGTTTTAAAGTCGTGATTCCATGCTTCATTTTGGCAGCCCAGATGGGACTCTCTCTGCTCGGCTGCTGGAACGACTGAGGAACAGACGTCCTAGCCATGGCCCAAGAATTCTCGGAGGAACTCCGCTCCCAGCTGTTCACTGCAGGAGCAGACAAGAGCCATCTAAACTGCGGACAAAGGTATGTTTACGGCATAATGGGCTGCTGGTAAGGCACGCAGAGACGTCTGGTGCACAGCATAGTCCCAAGGTGGGGTACCCAGTCTGGTTAAGGCACCCCGGGAAGGTCTCTGTCTAGAATGGTAACAGGAGTGAGGGGCAGACAGGCTTTGGGAGACTATCAATGATTGGTATATAAGAGATAGTTTGATGGGAGACTATCAATGATTCACATATAATAGATAGTTTGCCTTCTGTAATAAAGTCCTGCCAGAGCACTCCTACTCTGCCCTGACCCGGACTTGTGGGAATCTCTTATTAAGGGCATTACATAGGACTTGCAGAAATTTCTCCTTAGGGCAGGAGGGCAGTACGCAAGTGAAGTCCTGGCGCGGACCCCTTATTAAGGGCAATACACAAGTGGGATAGCTATCATTCATGTCATCTGTTGTAACCCGTGGGAACTAAAATAAGTTTTTGCATCCAGTACCGTGCAGTGAGTGCTGATTCGCATTAGTCGGTTTTGTACTTGTGGCAAATGGTTAATGGTTTATGATTTATGCTACACACGAGCTTGGATGTTGTTTTAAATTGATGCATTTTGTGCTGTGAGTGAAAAGCGTGGCAGGATCTTTGTGTGACTGAGTCCCTGCATGCCTGCAGTGTGTGAGTGGGACACAGCGCAGCTGCGAAGCGAGTGCGGAGTTCTTATTCGCTGTTCCATGTTCTCCGCGAGGAGAGTGGCCGGAGATGAACGAAGCAAATGAGACTGATATGCTGAGTTGGATATCCTTAGCTGCTGGTGGGGTGGTAGCTGGAATAATAATTGCCGTGGTCGTTTGTCGCTGTTTTTGTGGTAACATATCAATTTCATGTAAGATTAAAGCAGGAACAAAAATGGGAAATACCCAAGACAAAGAAATCCTAAAGAAAAGCCCTTTAGGATGTATATTAGCATGTCGTAAAGACATCACTGGGTCTAGGGGCACAGAAAGTAAAAAGACCCTTACTGAGCACTGCAATCATTGGTGGCCTTTTATAAACTGGAAAATGAAGCAAAATGGCCACTAAATGGGACCCTAGACTATAACACCCTTCTACAGTTAATGTTGTTCCTAGAAAGAACAAAGGGAAGTAGAATTTTTAGTGGATACAGGAGCAACCTATGTGGTCCTTAATCAGGCCTTGATGCCTCTAGGAGAAGAATATGTAATGGTAAAGAGAGCTACTGGCCAAACTGAGAGAGACTATTTTCGTAAACTGCTAAAGTATAAATTGGAAAAAGAAATGGGTGTTCACAAATTCTTATATTTGCCGGATTCACCCAAAGCCCTTTTGGGAAGAGACCTCCTAGAACAATTGCAGGCCACAATTAAGTTTAAGAATGGGGAAGTTACTCTGGAGGTAAATGATCAACAATATGTACATGTGTTTACTTTTAACAGATCTTCCAATAAAAGGAGAAATCAGCAAGGAAATTACTGACCAGGTATACCCAGGAGTATGGGCAATGGGCATACCAGGGTGAGCTTAAAATGCTATACCAGTTATCATGAAATTGAAAGAGGGACAAAAGCAGGTAAGGATAAAACAATATCCTCTAAAGTGGGAGGATTGGGAAGGTATTCAGCCCACTATTAAAAAATTTTTGGACCAGGGGTTGCTGAAGGAATGTGAATCTGCCTTTAATACCCCTATCCTTTCAATGAAGAAACCAGGTGGATCCCACCGGGTTGTACAGGACCTGAGGGCAATTAACAAAATAACCAAGGACCTATATCCTTTAGTGGCTAACCCCTATACCTTGCTTACTACGATGACCAATGAATTAACCTGGTTTACTGTTCTAGATTTAAAGGATGCCTTCTTTTGCCTCCCTCTCCACGAGCCTAGCCAGAAATTATTTGCCTTTGAATGGGAAAATCCCAAAAGCAGCCGTAAAACTCAATTAACCTGGACGGTGCTGCCTCAAGAATTCAAGAACAGTCCCAAAATATTTGGCAATCAACTAGACAAATATCTTGAAAACTGGGACCTGCCACCTGACAAAGGCAACATTCTTCAATCTGTAGTTGACCTGCTTGTTGTCACGGAGACCAGAGAAAGTTGTACAGCCTGGACGGTGAGTCTTTTAAACTATTTGGGCCTACAGGGGTACCAGGTCTCCCAGAAGAACGCACAGGTAGTACAACAGCAAGTTGTCATTTGGGCTACGAGATAAGTGTGGGTGTCCGTACCCTAGGACAAAGCTGAAAGGAAACAATTTGCCAGACACCACAGCCCAGGACTGTGAAAGAACTACACACCTTTTTGGGCATGACTAGGTGGTGTAGACTCTGGATTTACAACTATGGACTCCTTCTGAAACCTTTGTATGACCTTATCAAGGCATGGACATGTGAGAATAGACTGAGATGGACCCCAGAAGCGATCAGGGCCTACACAGACTGATGTCAACACCTGTGCTCAGTCTCCCGGACGTGAGTAAACATTTCCTTTTATTCTCGCATGAGAAGCAGGGAATTGCTTTGGGAATCCTAGCCCAGGACCCTGGGCCCTATTGAAGAGCTGTGGCCTATTTCTCCAAGCAAATGGACAAGGCAGCAAAAGGGTAGCCAGGGTGTCTCAGAGCAGTGGCAGCTACTATCTTGAATGTCCAGGAGGCTTGCAAGTTCACCTTGGGTCAGAAAATGACCGTGCTTGTCTCTCACACAGCGTAGGCAGTCTTGGAAGCTAAAGGTGGCCACTGGATGTCACCACAGAGGTTCCTGAAATACCAGGCTATCATGGTAGAACTAGACAACACAGAGATAGTGGTGACTAATATTGTCAACCCAGCTTCTTTCCTAGATGGCAACCAAGGGGAGCCTGTGGAACATGACTGCTCAGAGACTATTGAAGCAGTGTACTCCAGCTGTCCAGACCTGAAAGACACTCCATTGGAGGGAGCCCATGACTGGTTCACAGATGGAAGCAGTTCTATCGTAAGCGGCACCCAATACTCGGGATATGCTGTCACAACAACCAACAGAATTCTGGACTCTGGGCTGCTACCTGCTTCAACTTCGGCTCAGAAAGCAGAAATAATCGCCTTAACAAAAGCCCTGGAGAGAGCTAAGGGACTGAAGATCAACATATGGACTGACTCCAAATATGCATTCGGATTGGTACATGCTCACGGAGCTATTTGGAAGGAAATAGGACTCTTGAACTCTCAAGGGGAAACCATCAAGCATGACACAGTAATTTTGAAACTTCTGGAAGCTGTCCAATTACTGGAAAGTGTGGCTATCTTGCATGTAAAGGCACACCAGAAAATACGGTTGGCCATAGGAAGAGGCAAAGAGTTCGCAGACAGAGACACAAAACGAGTGACACGAGCAAAACAGGTAACCGAGGGAGCGCTAATCCCAGACGGTAAGGTCCTACTGGAGGGAAAACCTCACTATAATAAGAAAGACCTTAAACTTATAGGGGATTTAGATGGAGAATATAGCCAGGATGTATGGGCTGTTACTCCACATGAAAAAAAATCATAGTTCCCTCACACATGATATGGGCAGCAGTCCGAGAGGAACATAGAAAAGGTCATTCAGGAGCAGAAGCTCGGTATAAATATTTGATTGGGAAGATCATTGCAAGAAACCTGTATACAACAGTGCAACAGGTGACACAACGGTGTGATCTTTGCCTTCAGACTACCCCCAAAGGAGGTCCAAAATTAGAAATGAGCCAGATAGGCAGGGGTAACCTGCCTGGGCAACAATGGCAAATTGATTTCTCAGAAATCCCAAGAAACGGAGGGTACCAATATTTGTTGGTATTAACTGATACTTTTTCAGAATGGCCAGAAGCATTTCCTTGCAGGACGGCGAAAGCTTGGGAGGTCACCAAAGTCTTGCTACAAGAAATCATGCCAAGGTTTGGGGTACCATCACTATTGTCCTCAGATAGGGGACTACACTTTGTACCAAAAATAGTTCAACAAGTGAGCTTACAACTAGGGATTGATTGGCAATTACATACCCCCTATCAGCCTCAATTGAGTGGTCAGGTAGAGAAAATGAACCACTTGATCAAAGAACAGATTGTGAAATTGGGGAAAGGAGCAAACTTGGCTTGGCCACAGTCCTTGCCTCTGGCTTTTTTATGGAACAGAACGAGACCCGGGGCCAAGGAAGGGGTGAGCTCATTCGAAATTCTATATGGGAGGTCATATTCTGTAAATATGGGAACATCATCACATACAGGGGAAGAACAATTGAATGAGTGCCTCATGGAGTTGAGCAAACAACTCAGAAAGATTGAGAAACATGTATATAGTACAAGAGGCAGGGGACTTGATGGGCCAGTACATAAGGTATTGCCTGGCGACTTTGTATATATAAAGTCTCTTGCAGATAAGACCTTTGAACCACAGTGGGAAGGACCATTCCAAGTGCTGCTGACCTCCTTCACAGCTATCAAAATCAAGGAGCAGAATGCTTGTATCCATCACTCTCGAGTGAAGAAGGCTCCTAAGTCTCAATGGAGAATCGTACAAGTGCAACCAGGAAAATTATTTTTATCTCACTCATAATAGTAAAAGAATTTACTACAGGAAATGAAAAGGGGGGAATTGATGTAAGGAAACCAGATGCCCCCCCCACCTTCAGGAAACGTTGCATCTGGGGGTTGAGACATTCCCTTTGTCTGTTAAGATTGCTTGTTGGGACATGCCCTTTGTTTGTTCTGACATGCCTTTTGTTTGTTGGGATATGCCCTGTGCTTGTTGGTGTTGCAGTTACCTTAATAAAACGGTTTGAATCCTAGAATATTATTTTGATTTTAGTTTAAAAATATGATTTTGATTTAACATGAAGCTACAGTAGCTCTGAGAATATAAAGTACACTGAGGCCCTTAGGATTAAGCAACTAGCATGCTGTGTGCCTTGAACACTATAACAATTGTTATGGACTCTGAATTAACACAATAGGTACTGGTTATGGATCTTGACTTGAAGCAATAGGTACCAGAGGAAAACTGGTTTGGTTGGGAAGATTGGCCAAAGGAGGAATGAGCATTAGCCAACAATAAAATGAGCATGCGCAAGGATGGAGTTCAATCAGCCGACACAGTGATGAAGACTATCGACCACCACCAGAGGAACCCCGTCCAATATAACCACGCATGTGTTAGAGACATTTGCATATGATAATAATTTCCAGGAAATAACATGAATATGCTAATCATTGCCCTCCCCCCCATTCTATTTAAATCAGTCAGTAAAGATGACCAATGATTTCTGTAAAATAGGAATATAGATAAGGTGAGGTAACTGAAAGTCAATCATTATAAAGTTCAACTTAAACTTTATGAATTTTGTTGATCTTATGTAACTATGACTCTGTTGAAAAAGTGTGTAAATATGTTGTGCTTTGTATCTGCCGGCGAACACGTCTTTGGCGGAGTTATCCCCCATGTTCCCCAGCGCTGGAATAAAGAAGTGCCTGCTTATCTGCTGTGTGTAGATAAATTCTATTCGCGATTGCGACCGCTAACAGTTTTGGCGACCCAGATGGGACCTTGCGAGTGAGACTGGACGGGATCGAGCTCTGATCGAACTCCAGCCAGCACCAAGGAATTCTCAGGGAGAGCCATCGTTCTCGACCCATAAAGCTCCTCGCAACGTCCCATGGAAAGGTAAGGAACTTCTTTCTGAATCAGTGGAAAGCCTGCCTGTCAGACGGAGCGAAAGTTCCGTGTGGTTGGGGCTAGGGAATTCCCAAGCAGTGGTAGCCTAGGCGCCGCCCATAAGGCAAATACGAAACTTTCGCGGGGTTGGCATCAGTGTCAGAGGTGGAAGGGAATTAAAGGAGCGGGGCCCGCGGGACTCCTTGAGAATAGGACTCTCTTGGGCTCTCCTGGGAATTTTCCCAGAGGGACTCCTTATCTCAATTGAGTCACTGCGAGGAATAAGGCAAGGATTATTAGAAGAGGGTCTGGGCTGTTCATAAATTGTGAGACGTGGGATCTTGCATGGAACAGCGTATAACAGGGTTGCTAGCACCTCACTGGTATACCTCTGGTCAGGAACACTGCGGTGTTCATATAGGTACTTTCTGGTCTTGATTAGGGAAATTGTATTTTTAGTATTCTGTAATTTATGTAAATATAAGTCCAGTGCTCAGAGCAGTCTGCAAGTTCTCCCACAAAGTCATGAACTCTCCACTCCCTGTGAGTAACAGCATCTGCTCCAGTGCTATGAGCAGATGCCGGTGCTGCCTGTGGCATTGTGTATGCTCAGACGTGTTTTGCTCGTGACACATATTGGTCTTACGCCTGGTTTTAAACCTATGGTTTCTATGACTTTACTGCCTCCCATTTATGGAGCACAGCACAATTGCTGCCAGAAGAATGTGTTTTGTATCTCCTCCCCTGTACAAGATAGGAATGTGGTCTAGCAAGGTGTTTAGCACCTAACTGGAAAGCAAAAAATTTCAAAACATAATTCTGTCAAAGAAAATACCAGTCATGTGAGACTGTTAAAGTTGCTAACTTCCAAGTTACTACAGATGGCAGATGGCTTACCCAGTTCTGTAATGTCAGTGTGGATACTGTAGCATTCATATATTTTTAAAAAGAGACCAGATCTTCAGCCACATCTGACTGACTGCTGAGTGCAAATCTGTTGTTAAACAATGTCATGGCAGTGGGAATAGAACAGTGGGAATTCATTCATAAAAGTAACTACCAGTTTCATTTAATTTTGCACGACGACTCTCAGGAGACAGAGAATCATATAGTGCTGGACCTGCATTTTAAATGAGCTAGTGGTGTTGTTGTATGTCTAATTTGTTCATGCATTTGCCACATGTCTCTTATGCTAGGACATTTTCTGTGAAAATACTACTATATAGATATTGACAGAGAAATACTTTAATATACTGCTGAACTTAATCAAGTGTTCAAAATCTGAGCCAAAATATTCCAATTTTTAATTGAATGTTGTTAATAATATAATGTAACTATTCATGAAGAAGCATTCCAGTATTCTCTCTTATGGTTGATGTTAGGCTCAGATAGAATACTGCTCCAAGCTGGCTTGTCTCCTGTTGTTGAAGCCTGCTGTTGCATTCTGTGGTAATCCAATACACAGAACAGTTTGGGAAGCACATCTAAGAACTAATCTCTTGTATAACAGTGGCAATTCACAACTATTTGTTGCTTGAGGCAAACCTTCAGTTTACTGAGCACATGGTGTAGACAAGTTTGTGGTTTATCCTAGCCTTTGTTTTGATGACTGGTTGCATTTATCATAAACCACAAGTGGTTGTGAACTGCCATGCACTGAGGATCTTCATTTCTATTACTACATCATACAGACAAATAACAGTGTGCCTTCAAAAGCCTCCTGTAAGGTATAATCCACAGGCTAAAGTATTTATGTTTTATTGATGGAGAAAATGTAGCCATAAAGGCTTAATGAGTTTGTTGGAAAATGGGTGAAGGAAAAGAAGTTGTTTAGGGTAGCATAAGAACTTCAGCAATCAGTCGAATACCTGCAACATGTTGTCTGTTGCACAAAGGTTCTTGAGCTAGGCAAATGTAATAACTACTTCCTGGAAGTGCGTAAACTCAGAAGCTCCATGCGGAAATTGAGAGACTCTTAATCAGAAGCTCCCGTCCTTGAAGATTAAGGCCCTCTGAAAAACAATGAATGAGCTGAAGCTATGCAGGAGATAAGAACGTGCAGACGTAAACCAAATAAATGTCAAGTCCTTACAATATAAAGAAGAAAAGTTCAAAAGTTTGGACAAAGTCCAAGAAAGGTTTCTTCTCAAAGACCACAAGAGACCACTGGAGACCACAAATGATCTCATGGAAACCCCTCAGAGACCCAAACTGCATGCGTAATAACTATGTAAATATGATAATGAGTTATGGAAAATAGAATGAAAATATATGACCATTCAAAAAAAAATTATGAATATGTATGTAACAGAGTGATAGAAGCTTTGGCTATTGTAACATATGGTGGACATGTTACATGGAATGATTCCCTTATGTCCCTGGCTGAACAAAGTAATGCCTGCTCATTAATGTTAAACCCGGCTTTAAGGAATTTTCATTCCTGATTTCAGTGACAGGTTTAGGTAAAGTCTAACCACAGTAGAGGAAAGTATATGATAACTTTACATACTCCTATCTATAGGTGTGCTCATGCCTGATAGTATTTCTGATGCAGCCTCCCACTCAGTAATGTTTCATTAACTGAAAGTCTAGACTCCCATTGTAAGGAGATGTACAGCTCCACTAAAGGCATCCACAAGAATTTTTTATATACTGAGGGGAAAAGGAAGCCTACACAATGTCCTTCCATAATCACCACCAGGTATTTAAAACATGGCAGAAGCCAGAAATAGAAGTAAATAAGGAATGGGATGTACCTAGTGACAAGGGAAACTATCAGTGTAATCAAAGCTGATATTTAGTAAGGAGTGTGTAGGTGTGTAGATGATGGAGCGTGAGTGCAGAATGTTTTGCACAGCTGCATAAGAATGTCACTATGTTTCTCTGCCACAAAGATACTGTAAAAGTATCTCTGCTGATTTTGAAGAGGCAAATATTTTTCACTACATAGTTAATATTTTTACAAGAGAAGTGAGATTTTTATGTACCTGTGGTCAAACTGATGATCATGATCTCATAAGCTTTTTAAAAAAGGGCAGGAGGGTGGGGAAACCATTATTCACACCCAGAACATATCCATAATGTAAGAAATTGTCTACAGGAAAAAAAAAGCTCATCTGCAATCTCACAAGGACAGACAGTGTTGCAATGCACTTCAGAACCAAAGGGCCAAAGGAAAGGTCAGTAGTGGTAAGATTGCACTTCTAATGTCAATGCTAAGCCTGGCAAAGACCCATTCCCAAAGTTTAGCATGGTCCATTTTGCAGTGTTTTGTTATTAATAGTTTAATCATGCCTTGTATTTTCAATCTGTTTTAAAACATTAAATATGTTAATTAACATTATTAGTTTCATTTGTTAGAGCTCATTAAACCATGATTTCTAGAGATGGTAAACATTTTGCTGTATTTCTTCTGAATTGTGTGTTCTATACAGAGTTTTAAAATACTGAAAACATAGATAATGGTGGAAAAGATGAGTAGTTTTTTAGTTTAAAAATGCCATTTTTACAAAGTTCTGTGGTGTCCCTGAAGGCCAGAATTTTAATGCTGTGCATTCATCTTTTGAAATCCTGGCCAGTATGCCTAACTCCTTCTCAAACCTATGACAGCTTGGCACATGTCTGCCTTGGAAGATCTTGGCCTTAACATCTCTGGAACAGGACTTTAACACGAGTCATGCAGTCATCTAAGCATTTCCAGCTAAATCTTTTTACTTTTGAACAAAGGTAATGACAGGTAGGGAGGTAGGCCTGCAACATCCTTTCTTAGTCTTGAATAGGCAATTCAATTATGTATGTTGTGTATGATGCTACTTGTGGAACTATTTTTTTAACACTCATACCGAGCCTCCAGTCTCAGCAGGTCATTGTGCCACACATGCTAGATTTCAGGGTACCCTGCATAGGCAAAGGAGTTGAACTAATAAGACTGGATGAAGAAGATGTGAACGTTGCATGCCACTCTCCACCAGGAGAAACAAGAGAAGATTCTGCTTTGGAAACTGGACCTGTGTTTTTACCAGGAAAATGCTTCTGAATCCAGGAAACAGTGGTTTGCCAGATTGTCTCTACAGTATCACAACTGGCTGCAGAGAACAGTCACAGTATGTGCTCGGAAATCACAGGGCTGACTTAAAAATTAGAATTAGCAACATTGGAAAAAAAACACA